TATAATGATTTCTATTATTATTATTATTATTATTATTATTATTATTATTATTATTATTATTATATTTATTTTTCTTTTTTTCTTTCTTTATCTACTATTTCTTCTTTTTATATTATTTTATCTTATTTTTATTCCTTTAATTTTAGATTATTTATATCTATTTAACTATTTTTTTTTTTTTTTAGAATACTTTTTTCATTATTATCAAAAATAATTTCATCTAATTCATAATTTTACTATTATAATTTAGTAAAGTTTTTGACAATTTTTATATTTTAAATTAATTAATTAGCCGCTCTTTAAAAATGTTTTTTTAAATTTGTATCATTAATAAGTTATTAAGAAGTAGATCTTATTTTTTCTATTTAATCATTATTATTATTATTATTATTATTATTATTATTATTATTATTTTTTTCATTATTTTTTATTATATTAGATAAATTATTTTTTTTTAGACTTTCTCTTTTCGAATTTTATTTCTATATTTTTTATATATTTTCTTTATTTTCACTAAAATAATTTAAAATTTCTATATAAAGATTTATTTTTTATTAATTATCTTCTAAATCTATTTTGTTTTCTTTTTATTTTATTAATTTTTTTTTTTATTTGGTTTCCTATATATTATTTTTCTATTCTAAAATTTATAAAAAGTCTAATATTTTATTTATATTTCCCTCAAAATAACTGAAAGTTTATTTAAAGTCTTATTTAGAAAACTCACTTTTATAGACTAAAAATTTCATTAAAACTTTTATACTCTCTTTTAGTTTATCTAATTGTTTTTTTCCAATAAAACATCTATTTATATCCAATATGTATAATTTTTGTAAAAAAAGAGGATAGTTTTCATTTATTAATTTTATTTTTTCATCTTATTCACCTTTATAAGATATCATTAGATCTTTTAGGTCCACTTAGCAACTAAAATCTTGATAATATTATTATTTTTGGCATCCTTTATTCTCATATATGGGTTAATAAGTTTGGTTTTAGGCATTTTATTATTCTATAAGACCATATGTATCTAATTGTTATTCATTATATTATATTAAATCCCTTGTATCAACTGCTTTTTAAGCAATAATAGCATCTTCGTAATCTTCGGGTGAAATTTATTTATTTTTTTAATAATTTTCATCCTCTTTTTCTAATTTTTCGACTAATAAGATTTCTTTTTCTTTAATATCTTTTTTTATTTAATATGTTTCTTAAAGTTTAAGCTTTTCTTCTTCAAAAAGAGATTAAAAATTAAGAAAAAGTGCATTTTTAGCTTAATTTATTTCCTCTAATAATTCTGCCTTATCCTTATTTTATTTAAAATCAGCCATTATTTGTTCAATAATGAAATTTTCCTCAATTCTTGTTTTTAAAATCTATTATTATTTTTTTTATATATATATATATATATATAGTAATTTTATTTATTTTTTTACTTTATTTTCTTTTAATAAATATTCATATTTATTTATAAAAATATCAAGATTATGGTTTAAATTATAATTTGAATTATCTAATTTTTTAACTTTTTTTTTTAAGTATTTATTTTCTTGTTTATATTTTAATATAAATGCTTGTTTTTTTTCTAAATCTTCTTTTTAATTTTCTTAACCTTTTTTTAAATTAAAAATTTCAGTTTTATATAAGGAATGTAATCTATTTATTTAAGTATAAAAAAAAGTCTCGGCTTTTATATTTGATTTTAATGTTTTGTGCATGAATTATTCAATTTATGATAAATAATTTTTCCATAAATAAGATAATAGTTAACCTGTTTCGGAACATATCAAAGTTACTTATTTGTTTAATTATTAAAATGAATTATCAAATACTTTGTTTAAGTCTTTATGAAAATCTTAAAATGTTTGGTAAGGTGTATCGAATATGGTTTACATTTTATCAGACATTTATTAAGATATAAAAATAGTTTTTTTTCTATAATCATCCTTTTTAAAATTAAAATTTTATGAATTATGTAATGATAATGTTTCTGTATGCTTTTTGATTGAAAACTATGTTTAACCGTCTTCTAAAAGCAAAGTTTTTCCCATTTTTAAATATATATTATTATCATTATTATAATTATTATTAATATTATTGTTAGTATTATTATTAACACTATTATTATTTTTGATAGTATTTTCAGTAAATAAAATTAATTATGGATTTTTCTTGTGGGTTATTTATTTTAATTCATTTTTTGGATATTTTATATTGTAAACTTAACGGACAGTTTATATTTACAATGAATTCCGTCCCTCATTTTTTCTAAAGCATTAATTTTATGTTTATGATTTCGATTATGTTTTTTAATTTGAATTAATTTAACTCATTTGTTCTGTTAAATATTTACGCCATGTTCCTATATGTGTAGAAAAAGATGATTTCTTTTCCATTTGGGATTTTATTTAGTATTTTTTTTTTTTTTATTAATATATTTATTTTATTATATATTAGTTAATTATATTTTATTTTTTTATTTTAGTTAATTTAATAATATTTTATTTTTTAGGAGACATATTTAAAAAAAAAATTGATTCTAATTTATTTTCTGCTATTTTTTTTTTTATAATAAATTTAAATATAAAGTTAAATTAAAAATATTTATTAATAAATTTAAGAAATAAAAACTAATTTTTTTTTTTTTTTTTAAATTATTAAAATTCTATTTTATTTATAAAATTTTGATTTATAACTTTTAAATAAGCTAGATTCAATAATTTTTATATGAAATTTAAATATATTAAATAATATAAATTTTTTTATATTTAAAATCATATATTTATTTACTATGATTTAATAAAAAAAAGATTTTATTATAAATGTTAATAAAATAATCTAATTTAACTCTTTTTTCTATACAATTTTAGTTCCAATTGCCCAAAAAAAAAAAAAGACTATTAAATAATTTAATTTCTTAAAAAAATATAATTTAAAGATATATAATAAAAACTTAAATAAATAAAATATTTTCTAAATAATTTTAATTTAATATATAATTTTTTTTTTTAAATAAAAAATAGAAGAATCAGTATAATTATTTTTTTTTTAAAAAAAAAAAATAGAAGAATAATCAAAAATAATTATTTTTTTTTTTTTAAGACAAAAAAAAATGCAAGAAAAAATCCCTATAAACGACTATAAAATAATAAAATAAATATTTAAAGGTACCCAAGCTTCAATATACATTTCTCAAAAAAAAGATTAAAAAAAAAACTAAATATTAAAAGTTTATACTAAATAATATGATTTGTTTTTTTAAGAAATGTATTCGTTATAAAAAATAAATTCGAAATTTGTTATTAAACCCTTAGAATTTATAAATAAAACTAAACTTAAAATTATTTCATTTCCATATTACAATAAAGGAGATTTATAAAGTTTTATCAAAAAAAATAAATTTTTAAAAGAATAATAAGCAGTAGAATATTTTTTATAAATTTTATCCGGAATTAAAGAAATACATTAATAAAATATACTACATAGAGATATTAAACCTGAAAATATACTATTAGATGATGTGTTTTAAGTCAAAATAGCCGATTTTGGATCTTCTGTTGATTTTTCAGAACCCAATTATGCTTCTTTTGGAGGAACTTATTATTATATGGCTCCTGAAATGGCTGAAATGGAATAATGTTCATATAAGTCAGATATATGGAGTATTGGATGTGTACTTTTTGAGATGCTAGTAGGTGAATCTCCTTTTTTTTTCGTTGAAAATAAATATTAACTTTCATATATAATGTTTGAGGTTTGTAACCCTATTTTTAATGTAGATCTATTATTCGAAAAATACGGTAACAAGAAATATCCTAATAAAAAAATATAAAAAGAAATGAAATTATTATTAGGAAAAATGCTTGCTTTTTTCCCAGAAAATAGATGCAGATTTCAAGATATTTTAGAATCGAAAATTATTCAAAAATTAAAAGGAAAAAATACTATTTTAGATGAAATTTTTGAAAAAGAAAAGTCAATTTTAACTTTCTATGATGATTTTGGGGACAAAAGTATAAATTTGAGTATTTTTAATAAAATAATTATCGAAGAAAAAGATGGTATAGAAGATTTTGTATTGGAAAATTAATAAAGAAGTTTTTTTGATTTATCTAATGAAGAATTTTAAATTGAAGAGAAAAGAATTGAGGATAAACTAAGGCCTTATATACATTAAGTATATTTATTAATCAAATGAATTTTAATTTTTTATTTAAAATTGTTTATATATATATGTATTATTTTTGAATTTTTATATTATAATAACTTTTTAGAATAGTTTTTAAAAAAATAATAAAATTTAATGTTTTTTATTAAATAATTAAAATAATTGGTTTAAATATATATTTTTTTATATAATTTAATTTTTATTAAATTGATCATAATAAATATTAAATTTTTATTATTTTTGAAAAATATAAATAAATAATTTAAAATTTAAATATATAAGTTTAAAATATTTTATTATTTATATTAAACATAATATATTAATTAATATAAGATATTTTTAAAATAAAAAATATATATTAGAATTTAATGAATTGTTTTAAAATAAAATATATTAATTTTTATTTATTTACTTTTATAATAAAAATATATAATAGTCGCATTCTTAAATTTTTTTTTAATATAATATGTCTAGAATTTGAATAATGAATAAAATAATATATATATATTAGATAAAAAAATAAAAATAATGTTGATAAAAATTAAAGAAAAAAAATAAAAAAATCATAGAAATTAAAAAAATAAAACAAAAAAATAAAAATTTTAAAATAATAAAAATTATATATATATAATATTAGATTAAAATAATGAAATAAAAATATGCAAAATAAGTACATATATATTTATATTTATATAATAATTTTTATTATATAATTATATATATATTATATATATATATATATATATATACATATATATTTATATATATATATTTTTATATTTATTTTTATTATTATATTGATTTTTTTTTTTTTATATATTTAAAAGATATGAATTAATAACTTATTTAAAATGAAATTTCAAAATAAAATTATGATGCCGATAATGAATAAAAAAAAATCTAATTATTATCTATAAATTATTCAAATTTAGAATAAGAAAACTATTAAAAATATATATACGATGATTCTAATTAAAATAAAGAAAATATAGAACTTTAATTTTTAAGGAAATAAACATAATCCGAAAAGAAAAGCTTCTCAATATACCATAAGCTAAAAGATAGATTATCAGGAATAAAAGAATCGAATTGGGATGTAAATATTGAATAAAGACGCATAAAAATAGGTGAAAACAACCTTAAATATCCGTCTAATTAAATACGAACGAGTCGATACACTATAATATCTTTCCTTCCTTTGAATTTATTTGAATAGTTTTCAAAACTAGCTAATATATATTTCCTTGTAATGGGTTTTTTATAAATGATTCCTTAAATTTCTAATACTTTTGGAATTCCAACTGTTTATTTGCCATTATTTTTAGTACTTTGCATCGGAGCAATAAAAGATATTGTTGAAGATTTAAAAAGACATAGTTCTGATAAAGAAGAGAATTAATAAATTATTCATAAAATTGAAGACGAATAGGAATGTAAAAAGCTTAAAATAATGGATATTTTTAGTGAAAATATACTATGTGGAAATATAATAAAAATTAAAGAAAATTAATAGATTCCAGCTGATATTTTACTTTTGAAAACTTCAGATTTAAAGGGAAGTTGTTTTATAGAAACTAAGAATTTAGATGGAGAAACTAATTTAAAACCTAAATTTGTTTATAAAGATATAAATAATTTATTGTAAATTAATTTTTTTTAAAAAAATAAATAAATAAATATAAATTTATATATAGAAATGAAAAATAACTATTTAATTTTAATAATATGAATATATATGTAAATTATGAAAGTCCTAATCCTTTATTATATAAATTTAATGGAAATATATAAATAGGAAAATAAATTATTAGTTTAGATGAAAAAAATATTGCATTAAGAGGTTGTTTTTTAAGAAATACATCATATATATATGGAGTAGTCATATATACAGGACATGAATGTAAAATAATGCTAAATTCGCACTCTCCAGAATTAAAAAGAAGTAATGTGGAAAAAATAATGAATAAATTAGTCTTTTTTGTCTGGATTTGTTAAAATTTTTTATGTGCATTAGGAGGATTATGGTATACTATATGGCATTTTGTAAATAAAAGTAAAATATCGTATATCTATATAGATAAAAAAGATGATTTTAACTCTGCTGAGCTTTTTTTTTAAAGCATTGGGAATTGGTTAATGATTTTTCTGAATTTTATACCAGTTTCATTAGTTATTTCTTTAGAAATGATTAGGTATTTATAAGGAATGATTATTTGTAATGAGAAATTAATGAAAAGTAAGCATGGAATACATGCTAATGTTTAAAGTTCTAATTTAAATGAAGATTTAGGATAAATTTAATGTATTTTTTCTGATAAAACAGGTATATATATATAAATATATATAGATAAATATATATATATATATATATATATATATATATATATAAATATAAGTATATATTTATACATTTTTATTTAGGAACTTTAACATGTAATATAATGAGTTTTAAGTCTTTTTATTTAGATGGGAAAGTTTATGGAGATATAAATGCAAAAGGCTAAAAATAAAAAGATATAGAAAATGTAAATTTCGAAGATGAAAGAATTCTTAAAGAGCCCAAAAATTAAAAAATTAAAGATTTTTTATTACATTTAGCTTGTTGTCATGAAATAATATATAATGAAAAAGTTGAAAAATATTAAGCTTCGTCGCCTGATGATCTTGCATTGGTAAATTTCGCGAAATTTTGCGGTTTTTAATATTTAGGAAAAGATAATGACGATATAATATAAATAAAAGAAAGTGAATAAAATAAAATATGGAAATTTAAATTATTGAATTTAATTGAATTTACTTCTGATAGAAAAAGAATGTCTATTATAATTTAAGATTAGGAAACTGAGAAAATTTGCTTATTAATAAAAGGCGCAGATAGCGCCATTATTCCTAGATTTACATCATAAGAATAAACTCCTTGTTTACTAAAAATACTAGAGGAATACTCCGAAATAGGACTCAGGACTTTAGTTTTGGGAAAAAAGGATATTTCAAACTAAGAATATCAAGATTTTAACATAAAATATTAAAAAGCAGCCTCTCTTTTAAAAAACAGGGATGAAGCAATCGAAGAATTAGCCTAAAATATTGAATAAAACATCACTTTTATAGGTGCTACGGCTATAGAAGATGAATTATAAGACGAAGTAGGCGAAACAATTGAAATTTTGAAAAAAGCAGGAATTTGTTTTTGGATATTAACTGGAGATAAGAAAGAAACTGCGATAAATATAGCTATATCAACCAAAGTATTAACTACGTAAGACACTTTAGTCGAAATAACGCCCTAAAATTTATTCAATATACATATAAACGATAAGAAAACAACAATAATAATCACTGGAGATTCAATTTCTGAAATTTTCCAAGATGATATTAAACAATCAACTTTTTCTGGAATTTCTTCCCAGGCAAAGTCAGTTATAGCCTGTAGAGTTTCTCCTAAATAAAAGAAAGAATTAGTCTATCACTATAAATTACACCCAAAAAATGCCTAAAAACGTACTCTAGCAATCGGAGATGGTGCAAACGATGTCTCTATGATCTTAGAAGCACATGTTGGTGTAGGAATCAAAGGCTTAGAAGGAATGTAAGCGGCTAGATCTGCAGATTATTCTATTGGAGAATTTAAATTATTGAGAAGGTTATTACTTTTCCATGGTAGGGAGTGCTATAGGAGAAATTCAGTTGTTATATTATATAACTTTTATAAGAATGTGATGTATTTATGTCCAATGTTATTTTTGGGATTCTTTTCTGGATTCTCGGGAGCGTTTATTTACGATTTGTTCCTTTTTTAATGCTTTAATGCAGTTTTTACTGCTTTTCCGATTGTTTTTTATGCTGTTATGGATAAGGATTTGTCTTCTAAGGTTTTAGTGAATTCTCCTTCTCTTTATAGAACAGGAATCGAAGGGATGTTTATGAATAACTAAGAGTTTTTTATTTGGTTTTTGGGAGGATTCTGGCATGCGGCTGCAATATTCTTTGTTTTTATGTTTTCAATGGACTCTGTAGGCGAGTTAGATGGAAGAATGAATGATTAGGTGGTTATTGGATAGAGTATTTTTATGATTAGTGTAGTTATAGGGAATATTAAAGTCTGCATTCATTCTTATTTGAGATATTCTTTATAGTTTATTTTATAAATTTTGAGTATTGGTATTTATTTAATCATTCTTACAGGATCTAATTTCTATTTAAATTATGAATTGTGGCATGTGCTTAATAAAATGTTGGTTTAGCCGTATTTTTATTTGTGCTTTTTAGCTGCTTTGGGATCTACGGTAGTTTTGGAATACGGATTGGTAGTTTTTAAAGAGTTTTTATTTTATATGTAATTAAGAGATTAGTTTAAGGAAGAATAATACTTAAATAATAATATTAAACAGTTTGCGAAAATCAATGATTTAAATAAGTTTATGAATACAGTTAGGAAAGATTATAAAGACGAGAGTTAAGATGAAGATAGTGCTACAGAAAGTATTTAAAATTAATGCAAAGAAATCAATATTTGAAAAAAAAATATTAATATTAATATTTTAGTTTTTTTTTTTTTTATATTTTAAATTAATTTTAATATTTTCTTTTATTTTATATATATATTTATATATTAATTTTTAAAATTTAAAAATGTTTCAAAACAATGATTTAGTTAATAATAAAAAATTATATGGTGATTAATTAAGATAATAAGTATTTTTTATCATTACGAAAGTTTTTAATATTGTTATTTTATAAGATTAGCTAAAATAAAGAGAAATAAAAATAAGAATAATAAAAAACTAATTAATAAAGTATAAAGTAATTTATGCCTTAAAAAAGCTCAGAAATAAATGCAAATTAATTAAATAAAGAATAATAAAAAAAGGATTATAGAGAGTATTTAATAAAGCAAGTAAATAATAATTATAAATAATCAATGTTCTAATTTTTTGTTTAAACAAAAAAATAGATGAATGAAAAAAATTTACCACATTTTATAACTTAAAAGCAAAAACAAATTCATCTTTTATAAGAAAAGTTCTCCTAATAATAAATTTGCAATTATGATATGTATTTAAAATGAAAAATTTATATATATATATATATATATATATATATATATATATATATATATATATATATATATATATATATATTATATAAAATAAGGATTTAATAAAAATTAAATAGAAATACTAAGAATTTCAACTAAGATGCATAAACTTCAAAATAACAAGAAATTTATAAAAAACAAGAAATGCTTTAATTTTTACAAGAATAAATCTAAGAAAAAGAAAATTAAAAAAAATAAGAAAGAAAATATTATTTAGAATCAGTTGATTTTTATTAAAAGTAAACTTTTCAAAAAAGCAATCATTTTTAATCTAAATTACCTTTTAATGAAGAAAAAAAAAAATAATAGAATACAAATCATTATCAATAAGAAAAATATAATACAAATTATTTCTAATAAGAAAATAAATAAATAAATTCAGAATAAAAAAGACTTAATTCTGAATAAAAATAAAGAAGTTTAATTCCCGAAATTGAAAACTTATAAATTTAAATGGTAGAAGAACATTAGAAATTAAAGGAAGATTTAGAAAGAATAAAATAGGAGTTTTCTAAAGGAAAAAAACACCAAAATATTGAATTTAAAAATTAATAATAAAAAAAAACGGCGAAGAAATATAAGATTAGGATTAAGATTTTAATGGACAAAATACACTCGAATTTTAATCAAAAATGATTCCAATGGACCTTATTGATCAACTCTAATTGAATAATTAGCTTTCAATGAGTGTTTTAGTAAATTATAAAATAGAAAATTTTTAAAATACAAATAATTAAAACACCATAAATACTTTTAATAGTAATGCATGTAAAGAAATAGATTAAATATTACAATAAATGGATAAAAATAGTAATCCTTAATATTAAAATACACTCGGAATTGATGGAAAGGGGGTTTTTGAATATACAAAATAGAAAAACGAATAAAATATTTTTCCAAAAGAAGATTTAAATAATAATAAAAATTTGGATTAATATATAAATAAAGTAAGAAATGAAATTTAATATATAAATAACGAAAATTGTGTGATTTAAAATTTAAATGAAATAAAAGAAAATAATGACCAAAAAGAAAATTTGTATTTAAAAAATAAAGAAGAAAATAATGAAAAAAACTTAAAATAACTAAACCAATAAATAATAGAATATGAAAGTATAGATTTTGATAAATTAGATTTATTATTATAAAATTTTAAATAAAAATGACTTTTTATTTTTAAACATTTTAACATACAAAAATATAGATTTATATATTATTATTATATTTTAGTTCATACTAATACTAATGTATGTAAATATCCTAATCCTATATCCTTTATTTAAAAATCTTCATTTGTTTTAAGATCTCTTTATAAATCCTTTCTTATATTCTTTATTTCTGAGTAATTTTCTGCTCCAATTTTACTTAAATCTTCTCCTCCCCATACATAACAATTACCGAAATCTTATAAGAATATAAAAGTATAAATATTAAGTCTTTTTTTAAAAAAAATACTTGTAAACACTGCATTTCTATCAAATTTAGCCTTTACTTTTAAAGGAAATTCTCCATTTTCCATTTCTATAAAAACTTATTTAGGACTGCATTAGTCTAATTAAATTTTTTTTTTTATGCAAGTTAATTATGAACAGTAGCTCCAAAAACAAATATTTTACTTTAATCTTTTTTTTAAAAATAAATAAATAAATAAAGTTTTAAATAAATTTGCCTTTTTTAAAAATAAAATAATAATACTTGTAATAAATATATTATGACTTTTTCCAGCTGCTAAATCAATAATTTTTTCATTATAATCTAAATCAACATAAATTTCATTAAACTGATCAATCTTTTATTTTTATTTTTGATTTTATAAAAAAAATACTAAAGAAAAAAAATAATACTGTCGTATTATTTAAATTAGAAGTACCACATTATCCATGATTATTTAAACCTAAAGCAAACAATTTGCCAGAAACAGTCAAAAAAATTGTATGTGAAAATCCAGCTGAAAGTTTTACAACTTTTTCATTGGGAATTACCATTCTTTTCGGATTTGTGTAATAATCATCTATTTTTTAAAAAAAGTTTTTAATATAAAAATTAAAAAAATAACTATATTCTCTTGATTATTAATTATCATTTAAATAAGGAACAATTTAATGCCAATTTGACCTTCCAGTTCCATATAAAAATCCAGATTCTATATAAAATATATATATTTTAAATCTATAAATACAAAAAAATAAAACAAGTTAAAAATATGGAATGTTAATATCCAGCTGATATATCAATAATTTATTCTTAAGTATCAAAAACTATTCTTGAAAATTAATGTTTAAAGCCTAAATCTCCTATTCCTAATTATCCCTTATAATTTTCACCTAAACCATATACTTAACCATCACTTGTTTATAATAAAATAAAACCGCCTCCAAATTATATTTTATTGCAATTTTTTTTTTATATTAATTAGGAATTCATTAAATTTACTGCTTCTTCACCAAGCCTAAAACTTATAGTTTTTCCAAAAGGAGAATATTTTTACCATTTCTAACATAATTTTGGAAACTTTTTATAATAGCTTAATACTCTTGTCGTTGTTAAACTATCTAATATATAACCCCATTATAATATTTAGCCATCATCTTTTATTGATATGTATTTTTTTAAATAAATAGGCTTAAATTTTTTACTTAATCTGCATATTGATTATGTAAAATGAGTTTCTATTTAAACAATTTTTCTATCTTGCAATTACTTTACTTCTTGATATTGGGATACATTTTATAAATTATTTAATAAACCTAATTAACCTTTTCATTTAATAAAATAAAATATTATGTAATTATAATTGTTAAATAAAAAAACCCATAAAGTTAACTCCTCTTGAATATAATTTCATTATATTATAGTTTTAATAGTAATAAAATTAATTTTTAATAAAGATATTTATAAATTTATTAACTATTAATAAAATTTATATATAGATTTTAATAAAATATAAAATTAAATAAATACTTAACAAAATATTTAAATATATTTATTTTTAAATAATTATTAAATTCAAAAAAAAAAATATATATATATATATTCAAATATAAGAAAATTATATAAATATTAATTAATACTAATATTGTTTATGTGAAAAATAAAAATACATTATCTTTTTTAAAAGATAATACTCATTTTTATATTTAATAATTTATTGAAAACAAAATATGTTTTATATTTTATTTATGATTGATTAAATTTTTATTTATTTTTATTATAATTTAAGAATTTCTTAATATTTTTTATATTTAAAATTTTATTTTCAAATTATAAATATTATTATTTTTAGGCTTATTCTAATTTTTTATACTTAGATAATTACTATTTGCATATTTAATTTTGATAACATTAATTATTATTTAATATATAAAGTTTATTCTTCTAACTAAATCAATTAAAAAACTATATAAAATGCAATAATAATATATAAATAAAAAAAAAATCAACATTTTTAAAATATTACATATTTAAAATAACTACAAGAAATATTAAAAATTAAAAACATTAATAATAATAAAAATATATAATGGATAAAGCAAAAGAAAATATTGAAAGATAATAATCTCAAGATAATATTATTTAAAAGCAAAATGAAGAAATAGATATAATGGAAATGCTTCCTTAAAAAAATATGTATATAATTGAAAAACAATTTGATACAAGTGATAAGAAAAAAAAAGGTTTAAAAATAGATGAATTTGTTCGTGTAATGTTACATCATTTAGAATTTGATAAAAGTGATTCATAAAAAGAAGATTAAATAACTTTAGCTTTAATAGATTTATTTAAAGAAATTGATGTTAATGGAGACGGTATATATTTATATTATAAAATATATTTTATTTTATTTTTTAATTGAAATAAAAAAATTAATAAATAAAAAGGCACTATGGAATGGGAAGAATTTTCTGATCATATTATATGTTTAGGTCTTTTAAGAAATGATAGAAGTTTTAAAAATGTAATAAAAAATTATTATCCAAGTGAGCATATAAAGGATAATTAAAAACATGAAACTCCAATTGAAAAAGTTGTTTATTTTGAAAAACTGAAATACTTGATTGTTTTAGAAAAAGATTCAACTCGTTTTAAAGTATATAATGCGAATACTGCGGAATTATTTTATGAAGTAAATGCCCATAAATGTGCTGTTTTGGACGTTGAATATATTCCTGATTAAAATTTGATTGCTACAAGCTCGAATGATTTAACAATTAATTTTTGGGATTCTTCATATTTTATACCTAAATAAATTGTTTCTGTAAGTTTTTTTTTTTTTTGTATAAATAAAAATAAAATAAAATAATATATTAATAAAGGTTCCTGAAATTTAATTATGTATGAAATATGCTAAATGGTCCACACAAAGCTCACCTTCTTATTTATATACAGGAGGTTCTGATAGTATCATTCATATTTACGATACAAAAACATTAAAAGAGAAAGGTACAATAGGAGGTTGGAACCCTTTTTTTAAAAGGGATTCTTAATAATATGGACATGCAAGTCCTATAGGAGATATTCTTCCTATAAACGTCTAAAATACACTTGTTACAGCTGGTTTAGATGCTAATATATGTCTATGGGATGCTGCAACCCATTTACCAAAAAAAGAACTAAGAGGACATGAAAAAGGGGTCTATAGTTTAGATTGGTCAGACTTTTCACCCATGAGTCAATGCCTATTAAGTGCAGGAGTAATTTTTAAATATTTATATATAAATATTTTTATTACTTAAAAATAAATAAAAGTTGGATCATGAAGCTTTTGTTTGGAATACATATGTAAAAGAGAAAATATTTCTATTAAGAGGGCATAATCATCCACTAGTAGGAGTAAAATGTCTACATGGAACTCCTTAAGTAATAACTGCAGATATATCCGGAATGGTAAAAATATGGGACGTTCGTAACTTTTTATGTATGCAAACTATAAATGTACCCACTGAAGAACTAAATAGTTTCGTAATAACTTCGCATTAGAAAAAAAGAATAATTTTTGGATCTCGATATTTAAATTATTATGAATATGATGAACCTAAAGATTAAATTTTAACAGATGAAAAAATGTGTTTGAGGGTACTTTATAACAATGTATTATTATGTTTGATTACTTTACATCCTGATTGTATAAAAGTATGGGATATTAGGACTGGTAAATTACAAAGTGTATATAGGGAATTATCCACAAGTGAATTAACTGTATGTGTTTTAGATACTAGGAAGAGGAAGCTGTTTGTAGGAGACGCTGAGGGGAATATATTTACTGTGAATATTAAGAATGGAGCGAAAATGAAAAAGTTCGAAAAACATAACAGAATGATTACAGATATTATACACTGGACCTCTAAGAAACCTAATGAGGATGAAATTGATTAAAATGAAGATGACAGTAACGATAGTAGAAGGGTCGTGAGTAGTGGAAGGGAAGAAACTATTTATATTCATGATGAAGATAGTTAAGATCCATCGAAAAGTTGTAGATATAAAATGAGATAGCATAAAAATAGTGTAAATTCACTTGCTTTGAAGTAGGATTCAGAACTTTTCGCAAGTGCTGCAGATGATTGCAATATTGTTATTACTAATTTGAATAATTATAGATAAGAAACTTTACCATCGGCTAATTTTCACTACGAGAAAAAAAAGTGATTTTTTTGGACCCTTTTTCTGCTTTGGTTACTTCAGATTCTGAAGGTTATGTGCATTTTTTTTATGTTAATAGTAAAAAATAAAGAACTCGACATACTAGGCATCTTATTACTAAAAAATATGAGACATATTCTGTTGTAAATAAAAATTTAGATAAATTTCCAGTTACTCATTTAGCCTTCAATTGTGATAATAAAATTTTACTTTTATCAGATGAACTAGGAAATGTTACTTTATGGAGTTTAGTAGAGTTTTTAAATAAATTAGAGGATATTTAAAAAGAAGATTTTAATGTTCATAAAGAAAATAATGAAAAGATTTTTTAAACAGAATTCGAAGAATAAAAATAATAATTATAAGTAAATATTTTTAAAAAATAAATAAATAATTAAAATAATTTAGAGTATATAACCATTAGATAATATAGAGAAATATTTTAGTGAAAAAGATATATAATTTGTGCATTAAATAAAAAATGCACATAATGATGGAATTACTTGGATAGAAATAATTCGAGAATATAAAATGTTTGCTACAAGTTCTTTTGATTGTTGTTGTCATTTATGGTCTTTCGAAAATGAATTCAAGAAAACGGGTTCACTTATTTTAGGACATGATGTAATGAATAATAATTGGTAATTAAAAGTAGATGAAGACAAGAAAAAATATGAAGCTATAAATTTTATGAATAAATTAAAAAAAATAATGAATGTAAATGATGAAGAGGAAAGTTTATAATCTAATAAAGAATTTGATAAAAAAACAAAAAATTAACTAAATATTTAATTTGATTTTAAATATTTGAATTAAAATAATAAAAAAAAAAAATCAGATTTTTCAGAAAAAGAATAAAATGAAAGGGCAAGGGAAATTCTAAACAAATATAAATAATATAATCAAAATTTAGAAGAAAAAAATAAAGAGAAAAAAAACCAGACAGTAAATTATGATGAATTTAATAAAGGACATTAAATTGATGAAGGAGTTGATCTTTTTCTTGAATAAAATGAAGAAGAAGAAGACGATAATAATATTCTTTATGATTTAGATGATGCTAAAAACTAAATTCAAGCTGGAGCTTATGTTTCTAAAAATACATTTAAATCTAAAGCTGTTATAAAAAGAAATAAATTATGAATTGATTTTTTAATTTTTTGTTTTTTATATTATGTAATTTTAAATAAAATTAAATATTATATTAATTAAAAATAATTAAAAATAATATACATTATTAAAAATAATTAAATTTTAAATAAATAAAAAAAAAATATAAAATAAAATAAATAAAAAAATATATATAAAAATAAAATAATATAATAATAATAATAATTATAAAAAAAAAAATTATAAATAAAAAATATATTAAATAAAAAAATTTATATAAATAAAAAATATGATAATTAAAATTAAAAATAAATAAAAATTATTATTATTAAAAATTATATAAAAAAATTAAATATAAAAAAAAAAAATTAAAAAAAATTAAAAAAAAAAAAAAAAATATTTATATATAAATATATAAATATATATATATATATATATAATAATTTATTTTTAAAAAATAAAATAGAAAATATTATATTATAATAAAGAATAAAATATATATATTTAATTTTATTTCTATATTATATAAAGATTATTCAATAAAATAATTAGCTATAAATATAATAAGTTTTTTATATTAATATTTTTTATAATATTTTTAAAATTATTTTATAATTAAAAATTAATGAAATATATGAATTTTAATATTAAATTAATTTTTTTATTTAAATAATTTTTTCATTATTAATTATTTTCAATTTTTTAAGTTATAGTTTTTTTATATTTATTATTAAAGAATAATTTATTTATTTATATTTTTTTAAATATAATTAAAATTATTAATTTTATTATTTAAAAACATTCAATAACACATATATATATTTAAAATGAAAATAATTTTTAAAAATATTATAATTTTAAATTTAATTTTTTTATTAATTATTTTATTATTATTAAAAAGTTTAGTAATTAAATTTATCATTTTAATACTTTATTATTAAAATATATTTTCTATTTTTTTTTTTATTTAAATATAATTAAAGAATAATGTTTTCAAATATAAAAAATTATAAATTTATTAAAACGAAGCCTTTTTCAAAATAATTTAATTATTAAATAATTAAAATATCATTTCAAAAAAATTTAGTCTAAAACATCATAAATAATATATATTTGATTTTTAAAAATTAAAATATATTATTTTTAAAATAAGTATAATAAATTTAAATCAAATTTAATTTTATAAAATATTGCTTTTTTTGATTTTCTATTATAAAATTTTATTATTTATATATAAAAAATAAATATTATAAATTAAATATAATAAAAAAATAAAAAGTATTTAAAAAAAACCTATTTTCTTTAAAAAAAATATAATGAAAAAGATAATAATTATAACATTATTAACAACCATATTGCTACTAAAATTAGCTCAAGGACAAACCAAATCTGAATTTAAAGATAGCTAGCTGCTGACTGTCAAGATTTTAATTATAAAGAAAAAAATTACCATATTTTGCTGTGAATCCTAAATCTGTAGATCTTTTAAATTAACCTGCAGACTTTTTAACTTAGTCTAAACATGAAGAAATATCAAAGGTAGCTTAACCTATATTGATCAGTAATAAAATAATTAGTGTAACGAATAATACTCCTTAAAACAAAATATATTCTAAAGTTTAATTTATAGGTGCTGATGATCTTGAATTAGATTAAAATGAACCTGCTGCTGGTACTTATTAAAAATATGAAAACAAATTATAGGATGGTACTATAGAAAAATCCATATAGGTATGGATTAAACTTACTCCCCATATTTAAAGAACTGTATGGACTAGCTGTTTTTTTTTTGAGTCAAAACTAAGAACTTAATGATAACTCATATTTGGGAGATAGATCACTAACTTTATATGTAATTAATAATATGTTACATTTCCCTACTTATGACTTAAATAGTTAAACAGTTAATTATAATTAAAATATAAATTTCGAATAATCAGAAGAAGGAAAATGGTGTCTTATCTATTTCGGATATTCTGATTTATAATAAAAAGCATTTGTTTTTAGTTAATTCTAAGGTTCTTAAGCTAATGTTTTGAATTATAATGGAATCAGACATAAATCTTCTAATATTTACCATTTGTTTGTTGGTCAAACATTTACATATAAAAATTTCCCAGGAAGAATCGTTAATTTAGTACTCTGTGGAGGATCTGGATGTTATAAAGAAGATGGATTTGAATAAGTATGGAATAAATTTCCTAAATATAAATTAATTTAAAAAGTAGAAATTTTAGGTGCTGACGATCTTGTATTAGATTATTATGATACTGCTGCTGGTACATATTAAAAATATGAGAATAGATTTTAAGCTAATACTATAGAAAAATCTATATCTGTATGGATTAGACTTACTCCTTCTATTAAAAGATCTTAATTGTCTAATTGTTTCTTATTGAGTTAAAATTCATAACTTTAAGATAATGCAGTTTAAGGAGATTAATCACTAGCATTATAGGTAATTAATAATGTGTTAAAATTCTCTACTTATGACTTAAATAGTTAAACTGTTAATTATGCTTAAAATATTAATTTTGAATAATCAGATGAAGGAAAATGGTGTCTTATCTATTTCGGATATTCTGAGAACTAATAAAAAGCATTTATTCATAGTTAATTCTAAGGGTAGGAACCTAAGGTTTTTAACTTTAATGGAATTAGTCATAAATCTTCTGATGTTTACCATTTATTTGTGGTTAAGCATTTTATATAAAAACTTCCCAGGAAGAATCGTTAATTTATTATTATGTGGAGGTTATAAATGTTATTAAGAAGAGGGATTAAAT